TAACTGTTGTATGTGTTTTTATAATTACCAGTCATGATATACCTGCAGTATATCAAGTGTGTGTGTGCGTGTGGTGCTGTGGTGTTCTGTGTGTATGTGTGTGTGTGTGTGTGTGTGTGTGTGTCGTGCCTTCCTCAGCTCATTGAATTAATTAATAGGGAACTTACTCTTGCAGCGTGAGATAAAGAGGGGGGAGCATCCCATGGCAACACCCCCAGGCTGTCAAACCAAGCCTCCTGCTGGGTCATCCGTGAAACGAGTTCAATGTGAGAGTGTCCGAGGATCGGCAGCAGTGCCACCGGTCCCGACCAGCCTCGAAAAACCGTCACCCCAACCGATACCTGCACTGACGATGAAACCTCCAGCACACTCAACTTCGACGAACACGCAGACAAGGTAGGAAGGACAGTAGTATTTAATATATATTTATAATTTTTAGATTTTTGTTTTCCATTAATATTTAAATTAAATGCACTGTTCTACAAACTGACCTGATCAGACACCAGAAACACCAAATTATAACCACGAACAACTATTACGTCTGTTAGCTGGAGAAAATATAAGACATTGTAGAAGCTGGAAGAAGTTGAACAGCAAAACTAAATGTTTGGTTAATTAAATAATAGAATATAGCTCACTTTACTTAAAAAGTTAATAAAACTAATTTCAAGGCAGCTTTCTATCTGTGATGTATTTTCTCTGTTTGAGTAGTTGTATATTAATATTAAACTGTCAGCAGTGCTGTTCCATGTTGAGCTGTTAGAGGGCGCCGTGCAGCTCGTCTGATCTGATCTTGGATTTGAACCGCAAACCTCATTTATTCCTCCCCCTCACTATCAGTCAGCTTTTTATGTGCTTTAAAATATATTAACATGCAGACTTAGTTATAGCATACACAGTATATAGTCTGTGTTTGTCTTTATTATTTATTCAACTTTATTAGCATGTTTCTTCACATAATCTCAGGTTTTCTATATATAAGATTCTGAAGCATTGTTCATTTTATTTTTATGTATTAATTACTTATTAATAAGCTGGGGTTGTCCGGCTGGCTGTGTCTTGGCTGCGTGGTGTGGGTCTGGCGTTGGCACTTGTGGCCCTGTTAACTACAGTTTAATGAACGTTACAAAAAGAAGCTTTAAACATTTCCTCTTTTATTTACGTGGCAGCCTTGTTATCATGTTTACGGTCGAATAACGGAGAGAAAGCATGAAGAGCTTCGTCCTAGCAGTCTCCTCATGAAGACAGTCGGCCAGAGAGGAAAATAATGACGACAGACGAGCTCACAGACAAACAGCTCTCTCCTTTTATTAAGCCGTCAGCTCCAGTTAAACTGAAGGAGAAACGTGTGCGGCGAGCCGAGCCGAGCACTCTGAAGAGGGTTGTGTTTCTTGGCAGATGCAGCTGGTTTGAAACCAAAACCTCAGTCATCTATTTCACAGTTAGTTGAAGCCTCCTCAGGCCAACCTCACATCCAGGAGAACACAATTACTCAGGATGGACGGCCGTGGTTTGGTGGTTGCAGTAAAATATGAGATCGGAGGTCGTTTAAGGTGCCAACTGGCTGTTTAGAAAAAACGACTGCAATGCTTTAGGTAGAGAAGGATTAAACTGCCTCCATGGTACCAGATGTGTTGCTGTTTTAGCATTGCCTGTGCAGCCCTATAACACAATTTAATGGATCATTGAGTGGCTGCAGGCTTTTTATAAACAGCTTCAGCTCCTTGCACTGCCCCCTAGTGGCCAATAAAACAATGGATGCAAGTTAAATAAGTGAAACACAAACAGTGTGACCTTATATAGCAGGTTAATGCTGCTATTGGGTCAACCCCCTGTTAAAGATACTCACATACTGAGTATCATCAATTTTGAATTAGAGTTTTGTTATCTAAACTTAAACCATTAAATCAGATACTCCGCCTCCAGAGGATCAACCAGTGTCAGTATTCACAGAGGATGTGAGAGCGATCATCAATCATATTCAGTGATACAAAAAGGTTGCAGGTCCTTCCTGCTACACACAGAGCATAAACAATATATACATTTATTAATATACAAATAAACAGGAAGTAATTCTGCAGGTCATCTGTTAAATCAGCGTCTGGTTGACAGTGACG